CTCTCACCATCCTGGTTGCCCTCTTCTCTGCTGCAGTTTCCTCTTGTAGGCTGGACCGCATGTACAAGGTTCAAGACTCGGGAATTGAATGTCTTTCCACACATCCAAAACCAAATTGTATGGTCGTGACATCCTTGTCCAATAGATTACCGTCTATCGAGGACCCACTCCAGCAGACAAATAAAGTAAAACACTGGATTCCTTCGGCCGCCATTTCTTTTCAGCTGGTGCATTGGGTGTTAAAGTTACCAATTTATTTGGCCCGTATGGGCAGATACCAGTATGCCCTGCAAGAGCAGCTCAGCAATGCCGTTGCCTCATTGCCAGAAGACAAACACTTATCAGTTAGGAAGACCCAGGAGGAAGGCTTACTCATGGCCAAGTAGTTAATCAACTCTTCCAAGCATGCCCTTCTTGTCACCCCGTCTTCCCTGGTGCTACATCAGAAGGTAGATGCTCTCCTAACAAAAGATGCCATTGAGAGAATACCGCCACAATCATGCAATCTTGGGTTCTATTCCCAATATTTTGTGGTACTCAAGAAGGATAGGGGCATCAGACCAATGATGGACTTTAGAGCTCTCAACACTTTCATCGTGTATCACAAATTTTGGATAGTCTCTCTACAAAACATCCTTCTGTTGCTGAAGAAGGGCATCTGGATGGCTACCTTGGACCTTCAAGATGCCTACTTTCATTTAAGGATTCTCTGCCAACACCGGCAGTACCTGCACTTTGCTACTGGGGAGGACCACTTCCAATACAAGGTTCTCCCCTTTGGCTTCTCTACTGCCCCCAGGGTGTTTACCAAGACTATGGTGGTGGTTACAGCTCACCTTCGTCTACTGGGGGTTTCTGTCTTCCCCTATATCGACGACTGGCTTCTGGTGGCAAATTCAGAGGATCTCCTCCTCAAGAACATTCAAATCACACTGTCCCTGCTGCAGACTTTGGGTCTTTGCATCAATCACAAGAAGTCCTGACTCATCCCAAACCAAAGAGAGCAGTTTATAGGCACTATTCTGGATTCCGTGGCTTGCAGAGCCTATCTTCCAAACGACAGGGTGGATGCCCTCCTCAGTCTCATTCGTCAAGTAAAGTCTATTTGTTGGGTCTCCGTGTTCTCAGTCCAATGGCTTCTAGGATTGATGGCAGCCACCACCGTCATAGTCTTCGCCAAACTACAGATGCGACCGCTCCAGCTGTGGTTTCTCCGAAATTTCGACCCGTTGACGCAACCCCAAACGGCTCTGCTGTTCTCCAGATGCTGTCTGACAGTCCCTAACGGAGGGAACAACCGCTTCCAACTCTGGCTCTTTCTTTGATAATGGATGCATCCCTATGGGGCTGGAGGGCCCACCTCAGCGGCCTTTGCGTGGGAGACAGGTGGGAACCTCAGCTTCTACATCATCACATCAGTTACTTGGAACTCATGGCCATCAAGTTTGCCCTCCACTCTTTTCAGCCACTCCTTCTCAGAAAGTCAGTTGCCATCCTTACGGACAACACAACTTCTCTAAGTCACATCAGCCATCAGGGCGGGATTGTGTCATGCCACCTTTGCCTTCTGGCCCTAGACCTCTGGGACTGGTGCATATCCAAGGGCATTCATATCTCTGCTGCTCACATTCCTGGGCTCCTCAACATTGACGTCGATATTCTCAGTGGGGGGGCACGTCTCCATGAATGGGAACTGAACTGGCATTACCTCTGTCTCGCCGTTGGGGATACTCCGTGGTGGATGTCTTTGCCTCCAGGCTAAACAAGAAGTGCCTCCTGTTCTGCTGCCAAGGGGTTCCAATGCCTGGGAGACGGCCTACTGTACCCGTGGGACCGGAATTT